TTGTTTCTTCCAACCATTTGAAAGTATTTTTTTCAGGTTCACCGTAAAAAACTGAGTATGAGAATGAGGGTTGATCGCGGTCAAAGTCAAAAGACTATTCAGTATAGAGGTCTTGGACTTCCCCTGTAAAGAATTCATAAACAGTTTTCCAGTCGAATGATGTACGTTTTTATCTTTTTCGACCACCTTAATTTTTTGAATTTTGACCTCGGCAAATTACTGAGATTTTCACTAGAAAATGAAAATCATCGAAATTTTTCGAAATATAGACCATCCGATTCAGTTTATGACGTTAATACCGAATATGATATTTTTATTGTATAAACGGCGAGTTCTCATGAAGAAAATTAAGAATTACGGACTGAATTTCGATTTTTTATTCCTAATTTAGAAAAAATGAATTTTCCTTGGTGACCAAGCAAAATATAATAAAAAGCAGTTCACAGTTTTAAAGCCCGTTTAATGGCGGGCGGTTTTAATGAAATACAAAAATCAAATTGATGTCTTCACACAAAAACCTTAGATAGGTTTTCAAAACTGTTTATGGACTCTTTACAATTGAAGTCCAAGATGTCCATACTGAATAGGCTTTTGACTTCGACCGTGATCAAGCAGGGCTGTCGTTACTGGAACTGAGTACGTGTTTTTTTCTTTTGTTCTCTGAAAAAAAATTCCACTCTCAATGGAGCATCCTCCAAAGTCTGACTGGTCACGACAGCTCTGCGATCAAGCATCATCCTTATACTCAGTTGTTTATGCTAAATCTGAAAAAAAATCCTTTCAAAAGCTTGAAAGAAAGAAAAAGAAAAGAATTTCAACTTTTTTTGAAACTGAAGGGCTTTTCGAAATTTTAAACCGTTCAAGCTTTCTCAATATGTTTTCTTCAAAAAAATATTTAAAAACCACTTTTTCTTACTGAGTTTGATGCGCTCTATACAGTCATGTACAAATAAATAAAAACAATTTTTTCTCGAACGTTGAATTTCCAGCACCGTATACCTTTGGACATATTATAAATTACAAAGAAGTACAATTCATGAAAATGACCTTTATCGTACAAGCATTCAACTTATATTTTATTTCTTCGCGCATCTTGATTGTTTAGAGTCGCACCAATTTCATATTACACACATTTGCATATTGAATATAAAAAAATACACAAATCATATCTGATTGACAATTCAAATCGTCGCTGTTATTTAAAAATGTTAATCAACAGACGAATACTTCTTAAAATTCTGATCAATCTATCCTTCCAGGTCAACGTCTTGATGTCACATATAAATAATATTCGAGTCATGAAGTAAATAACTACATAAAAGTTCTAGATTTATTATACTTTTATACTATTAGACCATAATATTCTCCATTCTGACAACAATAATATATTGACCGTGATGAAAATAGGTGAGAATAATTCATTATTAGATGATATCATTTGATATAAATGAAGTACGCAACAGTGTAATCATGCAGTCAACATAGGTCTATGATGTTTCTTCAATGACCGCACACATTCAATTATGATTATGAGCTGATTATTTCTCATATATATCAGATGTTTCATTCTCATCTTTAGTATCACTGCATCGATCAGTTCTACACAGTGGGAAACCAGGCGAACATCAAGAAAAAAAACTTTCATTTTTTTCAAGTTTAATCGGCGAATCATTTAGATAGATATGGTGGCTATATTTTCCTAGAATAATCTTTTACCTTTATGGAAACAGTGAGAAAACTCGAACTAGAAAATTTTCTCAAAAGAGTAAAACAACGAAAAATAATTTGTTTCGAAATTCACTCATTCTAACACCAAAAACAAAACCAGCAATAATTCTCTGGTCTTTTAACTATCTGATAACCAAAAAATTATTCAGAATGAATATCAACTAGGATAGAAAAAATATTTCCTACACTAAGAAACGTTTCCGAAACAGATGGTCAATTCGATGAGGATGCTTTAGCCCGCTCTCAATCTTGCTCAAACTTTGCACAAACGTTCTTCTATGGGTATTGCATCTGTAAAATTTGCATAAACATGCATAAACGTTCCTGGACCGTACAGTGGGTTTCTCAAAATTCGTTGATTTTTCACGTAAAATCAGATTTTCTTATTTCGAAAGTACATTAACTCAAAACTAAGGTGATATTTGGTATCAGCACAAAAACCTACATCTAAACATGTGTCAGACAATACATTTCTGACGTTGTGAGCAAAAAGTTGGTATAAAAAAAAATTCCCTCGGGGTTTAAGGCAGAGTTGTAACCAGTTGAGAATTTTCAAATCGGTCCGGTTCGACCGCTTTCAAAAGCTTTCTAAACTGGTAAAAAGTTTCATTAATTTTTTTAACCGGTGAAAATCAGTGGTTTTAAAAAAATTTGTTTTTGTCAATTTGCACGAATTTTTACTATTCTTTCAAGAAGCCGTTAAAATCCATAAACGCTCCGAAAGTTTAACAGTCGCGTTTTTCCAACTTGAGACGAAGATCCTCCTCCGAAAGCTGGTCTCTAATTTTCAATTATTTATTTGTTTTGTCCCAATTGTACATATATAGGTCAGATTCTCCACCTGATCAAATCAATATTCGATCAAAACCGTTCTTAGTGAAAAATGACCGCAAAGGTATCTTTGACATATTAGCAGTTTGTTTTTCGAACTCATTCAGCCAAATAATTTTTAAAAGCGAAAGACGTTAATAAATATCAAAGAACCATACTCTTGTATACTTTTAGCGGCTTATGAGGAAGTACACCATCTGCGAATCTCAGTTTTGAATCGGATATCCTTACAAAAGAATATTTTATCGGCACTGGTTGTGCACGGATGTGCATCGGTACCGAATAATTTTTTCTGGGCATCGATATGCATCGATCCCAGAAAACATATAAAAATCTCGCACCGGTGCGCAGCAGTGCCGAAGTTTTGTTTTCAATCACCATTTTGTTTTGTCAATTTCTGTCTCTATTAACACCAGTCTACTTCTGATATTTCGAATGTCTTTCTGACTTCATCTTTTATCCTTCTCATAAGAGACGTGCCGAGGCAATGCCGCAGGGTTTTGGCATGTCAATATGGTACTGATCAGTACCGCATCCTAATAAATACAAAATTCAGTATAAACAACTATAATAAATACCAAATTAAATTGATTAAATAAATTTCAATACGGCACTGATTTTTGCCAGTGCGACACCCATGCGACACTTTTTGTGCAGAAATATATCGGCACTGGTGCGTACTGGCAGTGCCGCACTGACTTTTACCAATGCCGCACTGGAATTCTTTTTATAGGGATAGTCTAGTTTGTAGTGTTCGCTGTGATGATTAAGAATATGACAACCTTTTTTCCCATACAGCTTTATTCAGAAATTATACCTAAGTCATTCTATTTATGCAATCGGTATGTCATACTTTTTCTGCGGTTCATTAGCCATTCTTTCTGATTTTATTTTTAGATTCACCAGAGTTCTATTAATATGTAAAATGTTGCAAAATTGTTGACTTCAGAGTCTAAAAAGATTATCCAAATTTATGCATACTTCGGGATCCCGTATACAAAGTTTAGCATTAATGCTTTGTCAGATTTTGATGAAATTCACAGATAATAACAGCCTCGTTGAATTGTGCTTACACGAAAAAATATTTTATTGCCATAAGTTTCTACAAAAGGTAGTGAGAATAGTAATTTGTATAAAAACGTTCAAAACAAAATAGTTTCCTACAATGGCTACAATAGATGAATGAAGTTTCATAGCATTGTGTGATAGGACGAATATCTTGAATTAATGAAAAGCAGACTGTTTGTTTAATATTTAAAAAGTTTTTAGGTGATTGTGAAATATAACTACATTTATGCCATGCATAGGGTATCATTGATTGAAAGATACTAGAAGATAATTGATTGTGAACGAGCGGTTGAATTTTAATGATGACATTTCTGCTTGCGAAATCAATATCTAACTAGTCTAATGGAACTCTATCATACATAAAATTAATATCATAATAATCATACGAGATCATAATATTTATTTTATAGCACAAATTAGTTATTCATTTAAAATTTTAAAAAGTTTATTCTAACGTTTCGAGTCATGACTCATCATCAGAGAAAATATATCATATATACTGTAGAGAGAGATATGTCGATGTATAAAATAAATATATTGACTCAAGATGACAGAAACTACAGATTACTAGGGCGGGAATCTTTAGCTATAAGAGAAATCTAGCTAAACTGGCTGGTCAATCAATATTTACTCGCCTTCTTACTCATTAAAATATGTGCACTGTTGTTCTTTGTTTAGCGGAGCTGTGATTTCTACCCGCCGTCTCATTTCTGGCACTATTTTTCGATGCGATGTCCTTTTGAGCTCTAACGTCTACTATCTATGAATGTCATGGGAAAGATCGAATACAAACATCCACAACTGAATCTGAGCTTGCAAGAAAAATAGTCATGTGTTTTTTTACACATCTGTGCTCGGGACAAGATCTTTTACAACATGGAAGCTTGACTCAATCCATGCTCAAGAATATGTCAATGGGATGATCCTGTTACCGTTGACACATTCGAAACTGACAGAAACGTCAATGTTCGAGAGCATCTCTTCTATTTTGTTTCAAAACAAGCTTCCTCTTATCAACTCTGTTCTCACTGGCACTGGTGTCATAGTTAGACCTATGCGCCGCTCGGTAAAACGGCGGCGGCGTGTAACAAAAGTTTTCCGACTAGCAGCGGATAAAAGATTATTTAAAACTTTGGGTCGTCAGCGGAGGGACGCAACCAAATTTGAATACGAAACTTAGTTTAAGTCAAGATCCATTGTCAATTTCATCAAATTTTTTATTTTATTTTCAATCAAAATAATGACGCTAAAACAAGTTTGTACGGCGAGAACCTCCAAAAAGCCTCGGCGCCGACTATCAGAAAAAAACCATCAGCGGCGCCAGAAAAGTTCGACGCTGTCGGCGGTGGCGTGAGTCAACCAAATGTCGAATCATGATTACTACCATTCGCAAATCAAGTATATTGCATGATGCTATTCGTACTATTGCTCATAGTTTATCGATTGATGGCGATCTCATCCTTGACATGCGGATCAGATGGAACTCGTCTTACAATATGCTATGTAGACTATTACTTTTTCAATCTGTATTGGATGAACTTTATGTTCAAGTCGATAGTTTAAGTGGCCTAACAAAACGGCAACAGGCAAAATTAATGGGTGTCCATCTATCGAACAACGATTGGTCATTGTTGCAATCATTACGATATGTGTTGGAGCGATTTTCGGATGCCACAGAGTTAGTTTCTGGCAAGAATTATCCGACGCTTTCTATTGCTTACGCTGTTAAACTCAGTCTACATCATTTTTTGAATGATTTAACAAGTGACAACAATGTTCGTATTATGAAACAAATGCTGCAAGTTGAATTCGATCAGTATATGACACTTCCACTTGATGCAGTAGAAGCCAATATTATAAACGCAGCGGCATTACTTGACCCATCTACCCATGACATCTTAAAGCGTGAGGATAGAAAAGTAGCCGAAAAGTTTCTTGTTCTCGAGGTATGACGAATATCTAAATATTTCTTGCTCATGAGATGTATGTTCACACGAATTTCTAGGCCAAGCGACGATTGAAAGATAACCCAATTGAATACAAAAGTATGCCGATGACAACTGTTGCTGGTGATACTGAAGAGTTAGAAAGAAATGATTCACTCGCTATCACTAAAGGTGGAACTCAGCTTAAACAGCTGTTTAACAAGTGTGGTATCAGTTGTTCTATG